CCATACTCATCCCCAGTTTCCGCGATTTACGCAAGGAACGCCTGGGACGACCCCCTTTTTGGCGACCAAAACGGCTTGCATTTTCAGACTCGGGCTTTCCTACGGAAGCCTGAGTAATGAAGGGGTTAGTTCTATTATCATTCTGCTTGCTGTACTTGTTTATGCATCAGTTGATTTGACTTTAAACGTGTAACCACGGGTGGTAATTGTATCTAATACCCTCGCTAATACCCTCCAAGATTAGTCCTTGCTATACGCGGGTTGTGTCGCGATAACATATTTTTGGTAGTTTTAGCAGCAGAGGCAGCAGCAGCCATAGTGATAGTCGTCGTCACCGTCGTCGTCGAGGTGGTGGTAGTAGTAGTAGTGGTACAGCCTGGTAGTAGTAGTACCGTCTATGGTCTGCCTCAGCAAATATGACTCGCGGTCCACTTTCTCGAAAATACGTGGCAAATACAAGCCGCTTAATATATATTGAGCACTCCACACGCAAATGCTGTCAGCAAGAAAGAGAAAAGGAGCGTGTCACGAAACGCCGCTTTCGACAAAAATGTATCTCTCACAGTACAGAACACAAGCTATCCTCTTAAATTTCATGAATTCTTGTTCTTAACTTTGCACTGATAAGAACTTAAATGTGGCTCACCTGCACACACCGTTCAGACCCAAGAAAACAAACACACTACCTAAATACTCTGACCACAATCAACATTCGGTTTTGAAAATCATATTCACAATGTGTTTTTGTACCGTAGTTGCAGTCTAACATTAGCATCTTTCAGCAATCGTGCGTATTCGTGTAAGGCATTCCACGGCAGCTCACTTAATTTAAGATGCGCATGAGTTAAAATAAGACATTCCTTTAAGTTTACTGAAACACTAAATGGTTGGATTTGAACGCAGACGTTTCTGAAACCTAATCCATAGATATTCTAGTCTTCTCGGATAAGGACGAATAAACCGTAGGCCCCGTCTCCTACAGGGGCTAGGAGACGTTAATTTCCCACGCACAAGATTACTGTGGGATGGATGGAAATCGGCCCTGAAAAGCCCCTATGGGGAGTGGTCAAGTAACGTATGTATGTGTGTGTGTGTGTGTGTAAATATTTTCTACAAGAAGTCAACAATTGTTTCTTAGACAAAGCTTTGTCTAAGAGGTAAGAGATAAGCGGCGAGTGTCAACTGACAAATGGCCAAAATGCAACGTCACGCGGTGTGTGACAATGTGCAGTAGTGTTGAAATCTGCGAAAAGTTGAGGTAGTTTGGAAAGGGAAGAATGCAGGAACTCGGAACCGGAATATTTGGAATACCCGGAATACCTGGAATTCACGGAATGACTGAAAAATAATAAATTTAAAAATAGGAAATTAATTAATAATTAAAAAGAATAAGTTTGAATAAATAATTATTTAAAAAGTCAAATAATTAATTAATAAAGTAAAAATAAAGTGAAAAGAAAAGTTAACAAGAAAACAGGAAAATCAGTTCTCTATCAATATACCAAAAAAACGAGAAATTTTCTCTCGTCAGAGCGACGAAGGGCTAACGCTCGAAAAATCAGCTTTTTAACTCTTTACAGAGGCCAATTTGCAATTTTAACTTAGTTGATATTACCAAATTATCTGGGTATAATTGACATTCTAATGACGCAGTTCCGTTCATTGCTTAATATGTTCTAACCTGCAGCCTTGCAACTCAATCAGTCTCGCTTCTCGCCTCACGTGCATCACCAGCTCGCTCAGTTTTTCAGTTCCCTCCCATCTCTCCCGTTTGATAATTTCTAATATTCTAGCTTTCCTTATTTCCATGTGTTGTAACTTTGTTGCCTTCTGCAGGGGCTTATGATTGTATTTTTTTTTATTAGGGTGGGCGGGTCTCCTTTAATCATTACCTGTCAATAACTAAACTGCCAACCTATCACGCCAACACTACTTGCTGTTTTATTGTCTCGAACATGTCTGCTATTGTTTGCAAAGAAACTTTGGACCATTTCGTGTCCATCAACTTTATCAGGAGAAGAAATCGTCAAGCACCAGTAATTTTTAAGAGCAACGCCTCTTTCAAAGTTATCTCTAAAACTGCTAAAAGCGTGTATTTTTTTTTAGAAAAATGAACTATTTTCAGGATTTAATCCAGTTCGCGCAAAAACAAGGTGATGACATTTTAATGCTCGAAGCATTTAACGAAAACAAATCATTAAAAATTTTCAAGAAATCGGACTGCTGGGCTCATATAAGATAATTTTCATAGTTTACGGATCTGTGTGACCTGGAAACTAATGCGGCATTTTAAAAAATATTACGAAACAATAAATCATCGTCTCTTGCGCGGAACTACGCGTAAAATATTGCTTATATTCAAAGGTATATATTCAAGGTATCTATAGTAAACGCGAAAAGGTATCGAGTAACTGACGATCTCTCAATTATAACTGTGGACGGCTGGTCTTCATGGTAGCTGCTTTGATAGCTCCCAATGTGTGGTTAATAATTATTTAAGATAGAGTATTAATCTGTGATAGTTCGGAGCTTTTTACAATTGAACTATTAAACTAATTGGAAATATTGCATTTGTTTACCCGTCTGCAATGGTTCCGGCTGGAAAAGCGTGGCGGCCTAATGGTCATGGAGTCCTAGACATCCTACAGGTGTATAAATGGGTGGAGACGAATTTAAAACGGGGAGTAACCATGTGATGGACTAACATCCCATCCAGGGAGAGAAGAAATATTTCGTCGCTTAGGCTGTATGGGCTAATGGCCTGACGCAGACTTTTTTAAATTCTAATACGTGCATCTCCATGCCGGTAAGTGTTTTTTTGTTTTTGGGACCCTCAGAGAAAAATTACGTATTAAACTATTTAATTAAGTTGTGAATTTAACATTAATTTTTAATCATCAATATTCTTATTTATTTATTAATTCACTTTTCTTTTTTTAAAATTTCTTATTTTTCGGTCATTCCGGGAATTCCGGGTATTCCTGGTATTCCAAGTATTTCAGTTCCGGTTCCGAATTCCGGCATTCCATATCCCGGCATTCCATATCCCGGCATTCCATATCCCGGCATTCCATATCCCGGCATTCCATATCCCGGCATTCCATATCCCGGCATTCCATATCCCGGCATTCCATATCCCGGCATTCCATATCCCGGCATTCCATATCCCGGCATTCCATATCCCGGCATTCCATATCCCGGCATTCCATATCCCGGCATTCCATATCCCGGCATTCCATATCCCGGCATTCCATATCCCGGCATTCCATATCCCGGCATTCCATATCCCGGCATTCCATATCCCGGCATTCCATATCCCGGCATTCCATAT